TCAAATTGCATCATCTCAAAGTTCTGTGTAATCATTTTTTTAAAATCTGTCCTTCCTGCAGGTGGCACATCCCCCAGGCTACCCGTTGTTCACGATGTGGGCAAAGCTCTTTATGACCATCATTCCTGTGGGCTCAGTGGTATGGAGAGTAAATTTCTCATCTGCTGTTTGTGGCGCTGGGTGCAGCAGCTTTCTTTTTCTCACAATATACAGGTTTGAGAAAGATTTATGATGATCATATTTTTAAAAATTGCTTTTCAATAACGTATTTTCTAATGTTCTAGTTCTTGAAGTTATTAAGATTTATATTTTTTGTGATATTTTCCAAGCTTATGTGTTTGGTGAGAATTTTACAGCGCTCGCAGCTGCCTAAAATCATATGGAGTGCACAGGATGTGTGTACCTTAGAAAATTGAAAAATGCCATCTTGTATGCTTGACAAGATCCTGATATTTTAAGGAAACATCCTTTAAGTGGCACAATCTTTGAAATATATCAATTGCGAGTGTTAATTGAATTATATAAATGTGTCTTTACGAATAGCTTTTTAAAAATAGGTTCTTTAAAATTTCCTTTGTTTTTGTAGAAAAAAATATGGGGCAAATATGTCCATGTTCTGTGTCTGTTTTAGTGTGAGTACCAGGGTTCGACAAACTGGTCATCCTTTCTGTGCTTATGTTGTATCAGACTTTTTTATCAACTTGAAAATTAAAAAGAAATTTTAAAAAAAAAAGGCCAGAAAATCAGATTTTGTTCTGGAAAAGAAAATTATGGAAACAGTTAGATGAAATGTTTGCCTCTCCCACACACCCAAATGTATATAGACAGATGAACATTAAAGATGTTGCAACAACCCAAATTCTCAAAATACTTTTGCTTTTCTGTTTCAGAATGACAAAGAGTCGGGGAGCTGGTCTATTTGGAGCTTTCCTGTTTGCATTCAGTCGTCTGGTGTGGACATGGTCTATATGTGCGGAAGTCTTTGCCTTGAATAATCTCCTGGTGTCCATGCTGTTGTTTACGGCAGTGATATTTGACACCTGTCAGAAGGAGTCTTTAAGTAAGGTAGCAGGTCTTCCTAACTTCTCTTTTAGCTTGAATGTAGAGGGAGAAATAGTAATTTGATCAGCAGGTGTGAAATTGAAACAGAACTGTCTTTTGTTTCCTTGAATAACTGACACATTCTCTAAGAATTTTGGATTTCCATTCTGGGATCTTATTTCAAATTCATTGAAATTTTATTTGTGTTGTAATAGGGACAGTGTTCCTCATTTGTAGTTTTTTTATCCCTTCATCACTGCTATACCCGGTGAGATTTTTTTTGTTATTGTAATTTTTTTTGTGTGTGTCAGTTTGAGTGCTCAATTATTTTTATCTTGCTTGAGGGTGTGGTTTTGTATTGATGTATTCTTTTATCCACAGGTGTGTATGTGGGGTGCATTCCTCAGTGGTTTGTGCCTAGCCAACCAGCACACAAGTGTCTTGTACATTATCATCATTGTACCATGGGTCATCTTCCAGTTGTGGACCTTTGGTGTAAGTGAAAAATTGCTCTTTTCTGTTTTATTATATGCTGTTGTGTAATTTGTAGGTGAGTTAATGGTAGTTCAACATCATAATGAATTTAGAGATGGGTGAGTGGGTGGTTGGCGGGTGCTCTGGTGTGGTTTTCTCCTTCTTTCCTATCAAACATCTATCGTCCTTATCTCCCCTTTTTCTTTTTTTATGTTTGTTACTCTCTTGTGACACCTCTAATCTTTTGGCGCTCATATGACCTTATGCAGTTGCGAGCGCCGTAAAATCTCTACTAAAACAAACAGAGATGGGTGAAAGGCCTGGTGAAGTTTGCACCTTGTGCGTCTTGTCTCGTTGGAATTACTGTTGTGTAATGTCTGTGGGTGGTTGGTCTCTCTTTCTTTTTTCTGGCGCTGTGGCGTCATAAATGGTCATAAAGTGTTCCAATGCTCTCTCTCTCTCTTTCTCTCTGTCCCCCACCCACCCACCATCCCCCCTTTTCTCTCTCTCTCTCTCTCCTTCTCTGTTTCTCTCTCTCTCCTTCTCTGTCTCTCTCTCTTCTTCTCTCTCTCTCTCTCTCTTCTTCTCTCTCTCTCTCTCTCTCTCTCTCTCTCTCCTTCTCTCTCTCTCTCTCTCTCTCTCCCCCTTTCTCTCTCTCCCCCCCCCCTTTTTTCTCTCTCCCCTTCTCTCTCTTTCTCTCTCTCTCTCTCTCTCCCCCTCCCAAACCCTCGCCTGCATTATATACTCGTATAACAAGAGCATGTATTTGAATGCATATATGTTAGGGTGGGAAAGGGGGAATGAAATGTGTGATTTTATTGAACTGTTTGTTACTGTGCATACATACCAAAGTTGAAATGTAATTGTTCCCAAGCTTTCCTGCTCTTCGACCTTTATTACAAAATTTCAGGAGTGTCCAAATTATGTTTCTGATCTTTTGCCTTATCTTTTTTTGGTGAAACTTGCTTATGGATTACATCTTATTATGACTTTGATCCAAGATATCTCGTTCTGTCTTTCTCTCAATCAGGAACTGTCTATGTGGCTACTCCTGAGGTCTGCGTGTTGCTTCAGCCTTGGTGTGCTACCCTATGTATACCTGCCCTTATCGTCAGCCCTCAACATAGCCCGTTGGACATGGGGAGACCAAAGCTCTGTCTGGGGCTTTCTCACTCATCTGCTGCGCCGGGAATACGGCACTCTGGATCTGGTGAGAAGAAGGCAATTCTTGCAGCCTTGTGCGGTAAAAAGCTGTACATTCGAACTTGTCCATAACAGTCATTTAAGATCACAGAGAAAACTTGTGGGGTCGGGGGTTCGAGCCACGGGCCCGACGTTGTGTCTTTGGGAAAGGCACTTTACACAAATTATCCTCACTTCACCCTGGTGGGAATGGGTACCCGGCTATAGACAGCGAAAGTTCTTGTCAGTATGTCAGTGTTTTAGCGCCTATAAACGAACGGCTTGCACTGTATGCTTCCCAGGAAGTTAATGTTGTTTCAGAATGCTCTCAGGTCTGCTGGGGTAATATAGATTGTGAAGCGCATAGAGCCTGCTGTTGAGCGGGGATTTGCGCTATACAAATGCTATCTATCTATCATTATCATCAAAACTGACTGTTATAGAATTGTGGCCGCTTATAGACAAGGTCCGATTTATATCCACTGCATATTTAAATGCTCACATGTTTTTATACGAAAACTTTTTTTTGGGGGGGGGGGGGGGTTTGAGTTTCAAAAATTGTTTTTTAGCTTTAGTGTGTGCTCTTAGATAGATTATTTTGTGTTTGAATATATAGCATATATTTTCTCAATTAAATCATGTATGTACTCATGTGAATAGATTGTCTATATTTAGTTGAAGGTCATTGGTTGAAATGTCTTTCCCAGTGTGTTTAGATTGTTGAAAAGCATTGCTAAATCAGTTTTCCTTTTTAGAAATACCTTTTTTTTTGGTGCTGTTATGGACGGAACAATAGAATTACTCTCATGCTATATGACCATTCCTTTGTGGTCTAGCTGTTTGGTAGTGGCATGGTTTGTTGGTCAGCGTCATCACTTCCGACCTTGTTCTGGATTGTATGTAACATGCTGTCTGCAGATGCATGTTTCTGAGAGTGTAGCTTTTTCTTCGCTCTAGAAATTAATGAAATATTGACAGTGCATACTGTGCAGGGTCTGATGTCTTAGACTAGAGTGGTGGGTGGTTTGCGGATGCTCTGGTGTGGTTTTCTCCTTCTTTCCTATAAAAAATTTATCTCTTATTTATCTTCCCTCCTTCTATTTTGTGAATGTTACTCTCTAGTACTCTAGTAACACCTCTAATCTTCAGCATTTATATGTTGTTATTGTGTTGCAAGTGCCATAAAACTAACTAAAACTAAACAAGACTAGAGTGATGTGAACCACACTGAATGGGAACGTCAAACTGTAAGATGCAAATATTTTGGTTTCCTAGTAGGCCTAATTATTTTTACACTTTTTTAAACTGGAGGGTATACTTTCTTAAGAGGATAGAGGGAGAAATGGAGAGGAGGAGGTTTATGGTTACTGAACGAAAGTCTGTCATTCATAATGCAAATATTTGGAACAAGGAATAAAAAGAGTTTGCCGACAAAGTCAAAAGGGATGGTTCCAAGTTACATTTTTTTTTTAACAAGCTGGGCTTGATTATCTTGTTGTAAAATGTGGCAGTTCTGCCGTTGTTGACTTGAGCTTATTTTTAGGGTACTTCCTTCTTCTTTTCTGTCTCTTTGTGTTCAGTTCCGCAGCCTGATTTTTACTGTGGGTGGCTGGTGGGTGCTCTGGTGCGGTTTGCTCCTTCTTTCCTATCAAACAGCTATCGTCATTATCTCTCCTCCTTCTTTTTTATGTTTGTTACTCTCTTGTAACACCTCTAATCTTTGGCACTTATATGACCTTATTGTGTTGCAAGTAAAACTCTTACTAAAAGCAAACTGATTTTTACCAGGTGCAAGTGACTGGTGCTGGTGTGTTTTTCTGTATTGTCAGCTCCTTCTAAACTTCTTTTTCAGCTTTCTGTAATTCTAATCTGTTCCTTGAAAAATGATGTGACTATTTTTGTCCTGACCTGCAATATACAACTTAGATTATTATGAGGGGTTTCAGGTATTTTCATTTTGAACAATTTTTGATCTTTTTATTTCATGCAATTTCAGCTCAAGGATCACGAAGGACAGGGTTTTGTCTCAGGACTTCAGTAAGTTCCACATTTTTGTTTATACTTTTTTTTAAAGTGATAAGTTTTAGACTTAAAGTGATAAGTTTTAGACTGAAAGACAATAGTAAACATACACCTGTCTTGTCCAGTTAAAGAACCACCCCTGTCTACCTGTCTATACGTCACTACTTTCATATTTTAACAAATTTGAGACCACTCTGTGTCTTGGTAATATTTTTATTTTCTGGTACAATATAATGCAATATTATTAAAACAACCATTAAAGAAGACTGATGATGGCCTCTATTTTTCTCTGTATCAGAAAGATCTGCCCTAGAAGTCCCAATATGGGATAAAAGCCATTTTTGACCTGTGACTGCTTTGTTCCCACTTTTTTAAATACTGGTACTGAGCATATATTTAAAGTTAAGAATTTTCTTTTAACCCTATCCGTACACCCTGTGGTTATTTTGTACCCCCGGGGTTGTATTCTTCACATTTTAGAATACTTCTAGTACGAAAATCTCTCTAAAACTTCCAGTATTTCTCAAAAAATCATTTTGACAGACTGCTATACAAAGCGTGCGGGTCGGATTAATGAATAAATTTTCTCTTTGAAAGTGGTGGCACAGAGTTCTCCACGTCGTATGGATACGATAATAAAACACGGCGTACGGATAGGGTTAAATATATGAGAGCTTCCACTTGCATCTGTGGTGTGACAGTTCGGCCTTTCGTTGTTACACACAATAGCCATGAGTTTGATTCTCAATGGGGAAATCGGCTTTTATTGATTGTCAGTGTTCGGTTTGTTGTATTTCTTATTTCATTTCCGTGAATTTGTTTCCAGGGCATATTTGGAGCATGCATGGACTGATCTCACCCAGTTAGTGTGTGTGCTGCTAGTTTTGTCTGTGCTTACCACGTACTTGAGGTAAGGGTTTCTCGTTATGGTAATTCTTAAGTGTTTTTGTAAAAGTTGTCTTCTTTCCTATCAAACATCTATCGTCCTTATCTCCCCTCCTTTTTTATGTTTGTTACTCTATTGTAAGACCTCTAATCTTCTGGTGCTCATATGACCTTATGCAGTTGCAAGCGCCGTAAAACCTCTACTAAAACAAAAACAAACATAGTTGTGTGAAATTTCGTTTCTCCTTTTGCACGTAAACATTTTGCCAAGATTTAGTAAAACCATTTTTGCCAAGATTTAGTAAAACCATTTTTGCCAAGATTTAGTAGACTGTGTACTTTGGCTGAGTGTACACCTAAGTGCAGTGTCTGATAAATTGTATCTGTTGATTGTGTGTACATTTTTGTGTGGGTGGTTGGCGGGTGCTCTGGTGTGATTTTCACCTTCTTTCCTATCAAACATCTATCGTCCTGATCTCCCCTCCTTCTTTTTTGTGTATGTTACTCTCTTGTAATACCTCTAGTCTTCGGCACTTATATGACCTTATTGTGTTGCAAGTGCCGTAATACTCTTACAAAAACTAAGCTAAAATATTCCTTTAAGTTTGTTTTTCTTGTTTCTCCTTCAGGTGTAGACGTGGTCAGTTTGTGAGGGTGCTGCTCGTGTTCTATTTGATGCTGCTGCTGTACCTGGGCTTTTTTTGCTGGCGTGCAAATCTGGATATAAATAAACCACTCTTCTTCAGAGTAGTAAGTTTTCTGAGTTTTTTATTCGGCTCTGTTCTGGCGTTGGATTGCTTGGATTTTTTAATGGATTGTTTAAGTTTGTGGGAAATGTACCTCGAAAATTCTTGTTCATACTTTTCTTTTAAGTCACCTTGATTATTGTAATTCCCTGCTTTTTGGTATTCCAGGTTCTACTCTTGCCAGACTACAAAAGATTCAGAACAGGGCTGCAAGACTTTTAACTTTGAGAAAAATTTCAGACCATGCCCATGATATTTTGAAAACCCTCCATTGGTTGCCAGTGAGAGAGCGCATTGAATTTAAAGTTTTGTGCATGGTTTATAGATCTTTACATCAGTGCTCACTCAATGACCTTTCAGAACTTATGGAAATGTACGCAACCATCTCGTAATTAAAGATCTTCAAATGACCATCAGCTCTGCATGCCTAGATCTAGAACAATGTTAGGAGAAAGGGCCTTTTCCATCTGTGCCACAAAAGTTTGGAACAATGTGGATTTAGATGTTAAAATGTTTTTAAATTGATCAATTTAAATCAAAGTTGAAGACAATGTTTTTCAGGAAAGTATACTTATAATGCTGGAGCTCTATTCTGAAATGTTTGTCATTTTTTTTGGGTCTGTTGTCGTTGGGTTTTTGTTGTTGTTGTTGTTGTTGTTGTTGTTGCTTTTGTTTGTTTTTTATGCATGTCGTAGTGGTACTGACCTTTAGAGCTTTTGTTGGTGTGTGTTTGTGTGTTTTGGAAGCGCCATCGAGCACTTCTTGTGGATTTTGGCGCGTTATAAATTCATTTATTACAGTCCATGACGGCTTTAAGCACGGTCATCGGGAGAAAGCATAAGCGTGCGTAATGCCAAAGCATGCTTGAGTGCGAAGTAGACATTGTTCGTAATCCAGAGATTTTTATGTTGAAAAGTTCCTGAGCTATTTCCCTTTATTCGTAAGTAGTGGTCGCGCAAAAGTGTGCGCAGTCATTTTTACCCGGCATGGTAGTTTTTGTTTGTTTGTTTCGTTTTGTTGTACAGTTCCCTGTAGATATTTCTTAATTTTCTTGTCTTTGCTCCTTTGCAGGTTGAGAGATTCTGGCTTCAGAGTGATCTACTTGTTTGTGTTTTAGCTGCTGTATGTTATGGCGATGTTTTCGGGTGAGAAACAGTGTTTATTTCATGTTTGAAATGTGGTACACTTGAAAGTGACTGTACCCAGTGTCTCTAAAGAAGATTATTTCATGTTTTAAATTTGGCCTTGTGTTGCCGTAGTGTTTTTGACAGCTTGCATCATCATTTTTTTCCCTATTTATTAGTGGTATATTAGGCTCATCAATATATTATTGTAATCATACTGGACTACAGTTTAGACAATTGTGGTTTGAATCCCCAAATGTTTTTTTTTTGTTTGTTTTTGCTTCACCCACTTGGCTTGATCTTATCAAGGGTAGACAACGAGTTTGGAGGTCTCACCCAGTAGATAACCTGACAGTATATTCATTTGTTGGCCAATAACATCATAATTATATACTACTCCCACAACTACTAGAGGAAGAAACAAATGATAACAAGGCAGCTTGTGGACCTATTATGTGATTACGTGTACTTTCCAAACACCCTGAGATGAACCAATCAGTATTGTGGTCCTCCTGCTTTCGGCTGTAGGGCTTAAGTAAAGATGTATTTAGTAAATCTGCTAATCCAGCATCTTTCGGTACTTGCGTTAACCTGTTGAAACTTTTCTTTTTTTAAATAATAGACATTTTATGTCAGGGTTGAGGACTGAGCATGTGGGTGGTTGGCGGGTGCTCTGGTGTGGTTTGCTTCTTCTGTCCTATCAAACATCTATCATCCTTATCTCCCCTTCTTCTTTTTTATGTTTGTTTCTCTCTTGTAACCCATCAAATCTTCTGGCGCTCATATGACCTTATGCAGTTGCGAGTGCCGTAAAACCTCTACTAAACCTAAGACTCTGAGCTGAAAGTTCTCGTGAAAAATTGTTTACCATCAATTGCTCAATTTGATTCAGTCTTGGTCAATACATTCACGGCTCTGGTTCTCTTTCCATAGTGAAAAGTGGAAATGCCTTGGATTTCTTTTTCTTTTCCACACTTTCAGTTGAATAAAAAGAGAAACATATACGTAGTTATCCCTATTATCTTAACATTTTCCACTTGTGTGTCTACTTTTCTATCTGTACTGTAAAGCAATTTCAGTGCTGATAGCTTATCATGTTTTTTGTTTTTTCAGATATGTTTCAGAGCGCTTTGATTTTGGGAAGCAAAAGTTTGAGCTGGCACTTGCTGTGATAATGATCGCTTTTCAACTGGTGAGTCCTGACACATAAAATTGGAACCAGTTGAGCGTAGTATTAGAAATGTAAAAAATTATTGATGGTTGCGTGATAAAGAGAGAATGATCAGTTGTATCAAAAGTTGCACTTGTGGCAAGTATAGCTTGAACAGATATTTCCTTCATCAGCTGCACACACAATAATTCAGTATACATTTTCTACAGAGCAAGCAGTTGTGAAACTGCTGATGATATGCCAACTCATATGATAATTCATGTAAATTGTTCTGATGCTAATAATCTTTTCATTTAATCAAACCAGCTTTTTCTGTTAACTCTGATGTGGAGATCTAGAATTATTCACCTGGAGATAGATTTTATTTTATAAATAACCTTACTGTGTTTATATGAATGTCAGTTCTGTACCATCTCCACGTACTTCTGCTTTGCATAAGTTTTTACTGGTATGTATGTTGGCTTAAAAAATTGTTTTATCCTCCCTCTTAAAATACTTTTTAAAAAGTAAATGCCATAAAAAAATGTTTAAGAACATTTGAAAACATTTATGTATGGATTGGTAATGGTTTTTATCTGTTCCTTATGTGGGAATTGTGAAATGTAATATCTTATACAAAACTATCCTTTGTACAATCAGCATTTCATTTTTCAAAAGATTGTTTTCTTTTTGTATTTAACAGAACAGATGGTGGCATGTGTGTGATCAATCAAAGAACATGGTTGTCCATGATTTTGCAAAGCAAACTCTTGCAAGCTTTCCAAACGGCTCCATAGTTTTGACCAAAGGGGACCTACCTTCAAATAGCTTACGGTAAGAATTTTTAATGAAAAAGAAAAAGCCTTGTCCTGGTATTTCAGTGTTCCATGTGTCCCGAATAGAACAGGAAACCTTAATTTCCTGTTCGTTGAACTGATTAAGATTTGTAGGTGTTCTTCACTCAACTTCGTGCATCTGGGAATTGAAGTGGGTCTCCTTTTTCTTTTTTGATTTATGCAAGGCAGGTCAAAGTTGAATGGTGTTAAACATGATGCTATTTTATTGTTCTTACTGTATCCTCAAAACAGTGTGACTAAACTATGGTAACCATCTGATTTCTTTTTGTTTGTTTGGTATTTTAAGAATTATTGTGATTGTTATTATTATTATTATTTGTTATCATATTTTACAATTGCGCACATTATTGAACACATTTGCCAATCCCTGACGTGTCCTGACGTATCCGAGATATCTGTGATTAAATATAGATTTGAACTTTCGGGATGGTGTGCTCCCCTTCTTCATATACCTGTATCTCTGTGTAATGCTTTTTCCTGAACGGCTGCACAAATGGTTGATGGCTCTTCTTTTTAAAAAAAATAATTTGTTGTCATAATGATTTTCCTAGAGAAATGTGTGCAATATTGTGCTGATGTGCTGTGAAATACAACTCTATTAACAATTTTAATATTATTGTTCTTTTTTTTTTTTTTTCTCAGGTACTTCCACTTGTGTGAGAATGTCCGTCCTGACCTTACTGTGTTTGATCAAGAGGTTTGTGAATTTCTCTTTTGTCTATACATATAAGTGTGTACATATACTCAATTGGACATTCACGCTTACATGTTACCACGGAATACGCACTTTCATTCTCTCTCTGTCTGTCTCTCTCTTTGTCTGTCTCTCTACCTCTTGATCTCTCTCTTTCTCTCTTTGTTTGTCTCTCTCTCTCTCTGCCTTTCGATCTCTCTTTTCTCTCTCTGTCTGTCTCTCTACCTCTCGATCTCTTTCTGTCTCTGTCTGTCTGTCTCTCTCTGTTTCTCTGCCTCTCGATCTCTCTCTGTTACATACTCTCATACACACACACGCGCACACATATTGCCAGGAAACACTAATGTGTGGGTGTGTGTGTTTCTGTTTAATGGGATGCTACTCTGTTAGGGTCACTAGGTCAGCTTCACCCTACTAGCTGCGTGCTTGATCTTTATCAAAATGCTCACATTTGACGTTGGTTAAAATAATTCGTGGGTGATTGGCGGATACTCTGGTGTGGTTTGCTCCTTCTTTCCTATCAAACATCTATCGTCCTGATCTCTCCTCCTTTTTTATGTTTGTTACTCTCTTGTAACACCTCTATTCTTTTGCACTTATATGACCTTATTGTGTTGTAAGTGGTGTATAACTCTTACTAAAACTAAAATAATTCTGGTCAGAAAAATTCTGTCCTTTTTGGACAAGGATTAAGAATTTTTAAAACCCTTTAAGAACAGTTTTGAAGCTGAAGGGGAGCTCCTAATGTTGCATAGATTTTGGCCTGTGTCAAGTTCCAAGGCCTTTTCAATGCTACTTTTTGGAACTGTACTTAAATCTCAGAAACTGAATCTATGAATAAACATTGGTCCCTGTTAAGAAAAATGTTCCATTTCTTTAATCAGCTACCAAGACAAAAATAAATTGTGTTATAAAGACATAAATGGAAACACATACACTGAGTAAGATTTATTTTTCCTATGCTGTAAATTTTGATTTATCAAAAATATTATCTTTTTACTCTCCCCCCAATTGCGCGCCTCCACCCCCTAGGTTTTGACGTATGAGTGGTCACTTCAGATGACAAGAAAGTTCTACCCCAACCTAGTGTTTCCTGGGGATCAATGGCAGCCATACTCTGGAAAAACTCCTGATGGCCGGAAAGCTTTCACTTTCAGAGATCTCATACATGCTAATTACAGAGAGTGAGTTGTCTTTGGGCTTTGCAACTGTCATACAAATTGATGTGAAAGCGATTCTTTTTTTTTCTCTGAATCCTTAATTTTTCTAGCCTCTTTTTTGTCTAGTACTTGTGTAAAATTACTGGGAATTTGTCTTTCTTTCTCTTTGGGGGTCGTATTTCATAAAGGTTCTTCTCCCCATTGTTATACAGTGGAACACTGATAACTTGAACATGCTAAATTCAAATTCTTGGATTGTTGGAACAGTATGCCATACCTGGACTGAACGGCTTTACTTTGTTATCATGTACTGGTGGCGCTGTTTTCTCAAACACCTGACATGGTTACGTTGAGTGGCTCGAAGTCTAAAAAGCTCTATCAAAATTTTTCTTACCAGTCTTTACTTCAAATCACCCTGCACACACATTGAAAATAACAACAGCCATCATTATAGATATAGAGAGTAAAAGGTTACAGGAGCCCACCAGTCTCGCCTCTGTACAGTGTGATGGGCACACCACCGGTATCGAGATGCATCATCGCACATTACATGGGTGGTTGGCGGGTGCTCTGGTGTGGTTTGCTCCTTCTTTCCTATCAAACGTCTATTGTCTTTATTTCCCCTCTTTCTTTTTTATTTTTGTTACTCTCTTGTAACACCTCTAATGTTCGGTACTTATATGACCTAATTGGGTTGCAAGTGCCGTAAAATGCTTACTAAAACAGCATCATCGCACATTACCTGTAGTGAACATACTTCTTGAATCTAGTCCTGTGAAGGTGGGTGGTGGGGTGTAATCAAAGACAGACCGTGTGGCACTGCTTTGAGCAGTATGGTGTGTGCGTAATGTTTCTGTTTGTGTACATGTGAATTTGTGTGTGTGTGTGTGTGTGGTTGTTTGAATGTCAAGGTATGGATTGGGAAGTGATTAATCAAGAAGGGTTCGTAGTGTGCTCTGACCTGTGTTGATTACATTGCCATGATCATGATCTGAGGTGAGAGCAATTTTTTCTAGTCATAAAGTTCATCGGCAACATCCTCTTTTTTTCTCTGGATTTAACATTGAATGTACTGCTAGCTCTATCCATCCTTCTCTCCTTTTATTGGTATCAGGTAGTGTTTATGATACCAGAGAAGAGAAAACTTAATTGTCTGACAATGCACCATTAGTTCCTTCCCAATGTCTCTCTTAAATTTCATTAACCCCTTACATGCTCAAGATATTCGTACTCGAGTGTAACTTTGAAAATATCTGCTGCACTTTATCGTACAGCAGCAAAGTGTCCCCATGCTTTGAGTTTTAGGCTCCCAAATGTGGTTTTTGGACTTAAAACAGATTCTCTTCATTGCATAGAACTACATGCAGTTTCCTCAGTCTTGGACTGGGGGGGGTTGTGAACCAATGGCCCAGCTGTCGGGCTGTACATGCCTATTCTTCTTTGAATTTCTAATTGCTTTGGTGTCTTTTGAGTTCTCACTTTGGCAGCAAACCCCCGGGGGGTCATGATCCTTTTCTGTTTACTGAAGTTATGGAAATGGGAGAAAAAAAATGTGTATGTCCCCAGTTTAGTATTGTTCCCTTGAAGCTGATATCAATTAATATACTTCAGTATGTGAAGCAAATGCCTCTGTCATTCCTGCCTTCTGTCCTCTGCTTTGCTATAGCCACCTGAACAAAAGCTACATCTTTTTAATGAATTTTTTGTGTGCATTTGTTAAGAAAAGCTTTTAAACTTTTAACTTTAATTTTAAAAATTACAACGAGGACACATTGTCATTGCCATGATTGAAAGAGTCTATAGGAAAAGAAGGATTAGATTACACACTCTTGTAAATAGTTATTGTGGTTTCTATTTTCAGACGCCCAATCTATGCTTGTATAGGCGTTCAAGAGCACGAGCGGTCGTGGCAAACTGCTTACTCCCTCTGGCCGTTTGGGGTGTGCTCTAAACTGGTGAAGAAAGACAAGGCACTGGTTGTGGAGGAATGGGCCAAAGCAACGGATGCCATGGGACAACAGTGGAGCTATCAGTTGAGCCTGTAAGTTTTGTGTTTTTAGAGGCTTTTCTGGGGGACTTTCATGGTCTAGAGGTACGGTGTTCACCTCTTGTTCAGTAGGTCCCTGCTACTGCTCCTTTTACTTTTCCTGCTCTCTAATCATGTTCTGTCATCTACTTTCTTCTCCACTTTCTGCTCCCCCTCCCCCCCTTGCCCCCTCCTCTTGGCTCCTGACTCTTTCTGCTGCCTTTCTACTGCTACTCTTTGGCTCCTTACTGCTGTCTTTCAGCCACACTCCTGACCTTAGGATATATCAGACTCCTAGCTTTCTTGGAAAAAGGCGAAAAAATCTAGGAGGTCCAGTGTGCAAGTTGATATGCCCTTGTTAAAGATCCTTTGGTGGTCCTAAAATCGATAAGAGTAGGCTTTACCCCCCCGAGGCAGTGCCACTGACTGTAGTGTCTTTAGGCCATTCCCAAAGGGAGGACATTTCTCGTTCAAGCATAGTAGAATTGTAAATGAGCTGACTCATGTCACGCTCATAACTGTGCCTGATCTACAAAAGGGAACTGCTGCTTTTTCTTTCCTGATCCTTACTATTGTCATTTTCCTCTACTTCTTTTGTATGTTTGTCACTCTCTTGTGACCTGCTATTTCCGGGGTGCCTTGATAGTTGAAACAGACCTTGTGCTGTTGAAGCTAGAGAGGTGAGCAGTCTAAGTATGATTCCCTGTAAAGACTTCTCTGTTGACACCCCCCTTTGGCTCTCATATGACCTTATGCTGTTGCGAGCGCCATAAAACCTTTTTACTATAAAAAAGAAAAAAAGATAAGAGCAGGCTTTGGGCACCACCGGCGCAAAATTCAAAATGAATCCTATCAAACGGAAAATGCTTTACTTTATGTGTACCACGCGCTCATATGACCTTATGCAGTTGCAAGCGCCGTATTAACACTTACCAAAACAAAGAGAGTGCTCTCATGCTGTTAGGTTGACAATGGTCTACGTGAAGTATGGGTGGACACTGTGGTGTTGTATGCTTTCTCTACCATTTTTTTTTTTAGTATTACTGAAGCCTGTTCCTGACAAAATATTTATCGCATGCTTAACAACTCGGCAACACTATCATCAAAGAGTTGAGGGGGGGGGGGGGCTCTCGTGGCCTAGAGGTTAAGGTGTTGGCCTCTCATTCAAAGGTCCCGGGTTCGAATCCGGGTAGCGACCGAAAAATTTTCTTCTCTAAAATTGTCTCCTTTCACCTCCTTTCCTGCTCTCTAGCAATGTTCTGTTGTCTGTTTTCATTTCCACTTTCTGCCCCCACCCCCTCACCTCCTTTGCCCCCTCCTCTGGGCTCCTGACTCTTTCTGCAGCCTTTCTACTGCTACTCCTTGGCTCCTCCTTACTGCTGTCTTTCTGCCACACCCCTGATCTTCTGTAGCCTTCTCGGACAAGGGCAAAAAATCTCGGAGGGCCCGTGTGCAAGTTGCGCACGTTAAAGATCCCTTGGTGGTCTAAAATTGATAAGAGTAGGCTTCGGCCGCCCCCCCCGGGCAAAATTCAAAATTTCCTACCAACTGAAAATATTAGGTGTGTCCCACGCGCTCATATGACCTTATGCAGTTGCGAGCGCCGTAAAACACTTTACAAAAAAAGAGTTGAGGTTGAGGCTTTGGAGTAATTTATGTGGGACACTAGGTTTGGTTCTTGGCAGCATTATTAACATTGAATTGGACTATTAATGCTTTAGAAACCAGGGGGTATGGGTGAGTTCTTGTCTGGCAAAAGCATGTGATGATTGAATGGGGTTTGTTGGGGGTTTTTTTGTTTGCTTGTTTTTGTAAAGTGTTTTACGGCGCTCGCAACTGCATAAGGTCATATGAGCGCGCGGGACACACCTAATATTTTTCAGTTGGTAGGAAATTTTGAATTTTGCCCGGGTGGAGGCCGAAGCCTACTCTTATCGATTTTAGACCACCAAGGGATTTTTTACGTGCGCAACTTGCACACGGGCCCTCCGAGATTTTTCGCTCTTGTCCGAGAAGGCTAGGTGTAGATCTTTCCTATCAGAAGATCAGGGGTGTGGCAGAAAGACAGCAGTAAGGAGGAGCCAAGGAGTAGCAGTAGAAAGGCTGCAGAAAGAGTCAGGAGCCCAGAGGAGGGGGCAAAGGAGGCGAGGGGGTGGGGGCAGAAAGTGGAAATGAAAGCAGACAACAGAACATTGCTAGAGAGCAGGAAAGGAGGTGAAAGGAGACAATTTTAGAGAAGAACATTTTTTGGTCGCTACCTGGATTCGAACCCGGGACCTTTGAATGAGAGGCCAACACCTTAACCTCTAGGCCACGAGAGCCCCCCCCCCCCCCCCCCCCCATTTTTTTTGTTTTTTGGGTTAAATCTAAAGGTAGGTCATATTTGAAATAAAACAATTGTTTTTGTTTTTTTTTCTTCCTTCCAAACAGAGTGGATGATGGATCTTGGGAGCATGTGGCAAACTCAGAGATGTGGCGAGGACGGTAAGTTTTTTTTTTTTTTAAATTACATCCTGGTGTCAGGTAGTAGGTAAGAGTCTAGTCCAAACCAAAATTTCAAAAGTTTTATAAATTAGAAATGCGAGTTGATTTAGATTTTGCTTTTCAAATAAAGAACAATGCAGAAATCCAGATCAAATTACCTTCATGAATATAAAAGATACAAGCATTTATTTTAAAATGTTAATTACACAAAAGAAAACGACCAAAAGCTGAAAATACAGTATAATCCACTCATATCGACAGCCGATGTATCGACATAATTATTTTCCAATTACGAAATTTTTGCTTCAGTATCTTCACTAAACAATTTCTCTTATATCGACTTTTTTTCGGCCAACTCTGCTACACCGGGCTTTAGTAGGTCATGCAGGGCCTACTCAGTGTAGTCTCCAACACAGTACAGTGCTTCACAGATGTGAGTGTCTCGCGCACTGGGCATCACCTCCCTACCCCTACTCCCGATTGCTCACTCCCCTTCCCCATCCCATTCTCAGTCTGTCGCTGGCAAGTACCACGATCAGTGAGTCAGTGCCTCCCCTTTCCATTTTCCCCCGCAAGCGGCCTTAAACAGGCATTACAAGGCTGCTACAACAAAGTTTGCGCTGGTGTGTATTGTGCGCCTCGCGTTGCTTGGTCTTTGGTATCGTAACTCCAACCCACCCCCCCCCTCCCCTAGTTTCACAGAGTAGTTGTGTGAGAATCACAGGAAGCAACCAGCTTAAAAAGTAGTGTTGTCTTTTTACCGCTGACCACCCCTTGTTTTTTTTATATTTTAATTTATCGACATCAGATCCACTTCCCAAAGCATGTCGATATAAGCGAATTATACTGTAGTCACAAAAGTCATTTCCCCCATGTGTAGGAAGATGTTATTTAAACAAAAGTCCAGAAAATATTTGAAAAATTGTTGTTGTTGTTACCGATCCAGCAACGTCTGGGCTGTCGCCCTTCTGTCCAAAGCCATGTAGTGATAAGTGCAGGTTTGCTGCAGTTGCTGTAATGTTCCGTAGAGTGCATAGTCAAAGTTAGGTCTCAGAGGGATTGAAAACTAAATATTTGAGGCCTCCATTGGTATTGGACAAGTTGTCTATTTTAAAAAAAAGAAAAATTGCTTTAATTTTTATTTTTATATATAGTATGGGAAGGAATTTTGAAAAAAAAATTGAATTTATTTTCTATGTCAATACTTCCAAGACCAAGAGAAAAAAAATTTCAATTTCAAGAAGGGCCGTATTGGTTTGCTTTTAGAGAGGTGTTTCTTTTGCTTTCCAGTAAACTTTTTCATGTATTGGACCATGAGGTAGAAACAGATTTCACAAAAGTGATATCTATGAAGACATCACACGAACAAGTGAAAACAAAAATTTATTATATTCATTTTTCTTTTTATTGCAAAAACTTTTTTTCTCCTTCATAAGTTTGAAAAACACAGACATTGAGTCCCATTGCACCACATTTACGTTGTCCATACAAATATATATAGTCTAGCATACACACACACACTGCATTTCTTACACGTTACCAATGTTTTGCATACACAAATGCTTCCACATATATTTCATAGCAAAATTTGTAGCACATTTTATACATGATAAGAATAAGATGAGAGGAACTGCCAAGTAGAGGAGATCGGACAGATGTTGAAGTCCGTGAAGTCTATGATGAATTACTGAACTGTTAGGTGCGATCTCTAATTTAAAACCCTGTACTCCTAATGGATGTGTTAGCTTTATTTCATCCCTTTCCTGAAACATTGTAGACTGTTGAAATGTAGTGATTGAATGAAAACCATCGATTTCATCCTTGATATATAATAAACAATTAGCTTGCAGGAAAAGGGGAAAATCCTCCAACATTTTTTCAGCTTCGTCTGCCTTAAATCATTCACTGCCTTACACTTGCATAATATAAAAATTGTTCTCTCTCTTTTCCAGGACAGCAACGGCTTTCTTTTTCTTGGAGCTGGCAATGGAGCTGTCGCAGAAAACAAAAGAAGCGACGTCACTGCTGCTTAAGTCATATGAAGTGAGTACATTTCTTTGATGAGATACTGAAATTAATTCAGACAAGTTGGAGAAAAGAAGAGCCTCAGGTGGAATATGAAACCTGTTTTCGTTTCTTTTCTGTATGCAAATGCTGATGAGAGTTTTAACCCTACTATTACTGTCAGTGGTAAACTTGCACTGTGTCAGGGGAAAGTCTTGGGAACAAGGGTGCACCTTTAGAAATGATAAAAAAAATGAGTACGTATAATACATACAAAGACCAGAAAACTATATATATATTCGTAAACTCTGAAAAAGCTGTAACCTATTCGAAAAAGATTTATGACTTGGACATTTCAGCAAGGTCATGTGACTCTTAAAAATCTGCCAGGAATTTCGGAAACTGCCGAGGACCCAACAAAACCATTATCGCCGACTTGCGTTCACGGCAGCTGACGGTTATAACACAAATAAGGACAATCTTTTTTGTTCTTCTGGCTCAAAACGAGTTCTAAAGCTACAGGTAGTCTTTTAATAAATTAGTGCACTTTTGTTCAGCGTCGGTATTTCGTGTAGACCGTTTTCGAAAACTGTCAATGTTCAGTAACAGTCTGAGGGCCGATCTCATCGGCACTAGCCTTTGATTTGGTTAACCTCTACACCACATTGTTAGTATATTTATATATGGTAGAAAAATGTCTATGACCAAACAGCAGCTTTTCTTTTAGAACCCTCAGCTTCAACTACTCATACAATCTATTGTAATGGAATGTTATGTAAAAACTGAATAGGTAAACTATGTGATAACTGTCTTGTCGAGGTGATGGATACTATGCTCAGGTAGGCGTGAAATTCAGGAGGATGTTGTATTAAAAAATGCCTTCATCACCTCTCTTTCATCAAGTTTTGATCAATATCATCCATGCTTGATTCTTGATATTATTGTTTAGTGAGGAAAACATAAGACTTTTCAGGGAAAAAAAAATCTAGACAATAAAATACTGATTTTTAAAACAAACTCTTATGTTTTCTTCTTATGAGACTGAAAGACAAAAAACTCAAAGCCCTCTCAAAAGAACATTTTTAGACAAAAATATTTTTTTAATGCGGCACTGTCGCGACCAAAAGTGTATGGTGGTTGCTTATGAGTGGCTTTTGATTGAGCATATAGTTTGTGTGTATTCTTTTGCTCTATTGCTTTTTCCCCAGCACTGTAAATGATTATCATCATGTTGGAGTCCTACATCAATTTTATCTCGAGAAATTTTAATCAAATTTAATTTTCTGTTCTTCCTTCTCTCCAGATTTATAGCAGAGAGTTGGCCAGACATAAGGAGTGCCCTGCCTACTGGCACAGGAACTTTGCCATTGTGTGTGAGCACCTGTCCAGGAGGGACACCCCCCTCACCCAGCGGGACCTTTTGCAAAAGACAGTCCGTCACTTCACAGAGTATCTGCGCCTAGAACCAATCAACCCCGATCATGAGAAAATACAGAATGCCGTGGACACTTTGCAAAACTATCTCGACAGTACCGCTACTGAGAAATAATTATGTGGTTGTTACTCCACACCAACAATTCCGAACCTGTGTCAAATGCAAGTAAAGATGCTGCTGATTGTGCCCAGAAATTTTGGGGCAGAGTCTGAAATTGTTGCTGTAAGCGTGAAAGTGAACGTGTAAGGCATATTCTGTAATGTTTGACTGAAAAATGCTTGCCCTTGTAAATTGAATTTATCAGGACCAATAAAATTGATTTTTTTTTTTACTCCGAGCGAGACCTGGCACATTGTCTCTTGAACTTGGATGGACTGCGAAAAAGACTCATTTTGAGAACAAACAAATTTTGAAATAGAGGTAAAAAAATTTAAGTGGATGAGGGAGTGAACTGAGAATCTAGGAATTGTGGAACGGAAAACTCATGTCAACAAAACCAATTTATCAGAACAGATTGGGACTTGCAAGCACAACATAACTCCATTATAAACAACATTGAAAGACATGTGACAGTACCTGAGCTAACCAAGAGGAGTAACTCCTTCAAGACCTCGCTTAAATATAATGGCACAGGAAAACTGGAATGGCTATTGAAAATAACGTAATGAACATTAACCCTATCCTTACACCCTGGGGTCATTTTGTACCCCCGCGTTTTCGGGGGTACAACATTTTACTTCACTTAGAATACTTCATTTTAGGGTACTTCACTTTTTAGAATACTTCTAGTACAAAGATCTCTTGGAAACATTCAGTATTTCTCAAGAAATCATTTGGACAAACTGCTATGCAAAGCCTATGGATTGGATTAACGAGTAAATTTCCTCTTTGGACAGTGGTGGCACAGAGTTCCCCATATCGTATGGATACGACAGTAAAACACGACATATGGATAGGGTGACTGCCTATTACTACTGTGCATCGGTAAGCCTTGATAAATGAGAAATGCCGAATCTGCACCCCTGTAGTTGTTACAGTATTGACCAACCCATAATCAGTCTTATTTCAGATAATCATACAAACAATGGTATGACACCCATTGCAAATCTATTTCACCTCAATAAATCAAAACAAAAAAAATTATAAAAACACCCTTGAAATGCCTGCAGCCGGGGTTGAATTGGGATTTCAACCCCTGGAAGTCAGTGACTTAATAAGCTTTGTGACAGGTATCCTGAGGCGTGCTTCTCAAAGTGATCACTTTGAATGAAGAACATTTAGTCCACTGTTTGGAAACTTGGCCAGGAGGTAAAATATTCTAGGAGGGACAACGTAATAGTCCTTGTATTAAAATTCGTTACCATGTAACATTATTTTATATTGTGTGCTCAAGTAACCACTTTTCCAATACTGTGCCTTATTTATTTCAACAGCACAGTGAGCTTTATTTCGGTTTTTTAAATCTTTCTTTATTCTTAACCCTATGTGTACGCCCTGGGGTCATTTTGTACCCCCGGTGTTGTAGTCTTCACATTTTAGAATACTTCTGGTACAAAGATCCCTTTGAAACTTTCAATATTTCTCAAAAAATCATTTTGACAGACTGCTATGCAAAGTGTACGGATCGGATTAACGAGTAAATTACCTCTTTGGAAAGTAGTGGCACAGAGTTCCCCACGTCGAATGGATACGATATTATAACACGACGTACGGATAGGGTTAAACATCTTCGTATGTTGTAAGTTCAGGGTTTCAGGTTCTAGAATGTATTGCAAAGGTGTTTTAAAAAACCCAAACAAAACAAAGCTAGAGACGAGCTTCTATTACGTAGCCCTCAGCTTCTCTTTGTTGATCATCTACGCTGGCCAAGAGTCGGATAGCTCTGTCTTGCTCCTCCTTGCACCGCACGATGTGGTCAATACTGACAGATTTGTCCAGGCACATGCTGAAGCTTTGTGGTGAGTGGATGTCCACAGGTGTTGAAAAGAAGTAGCCAGAGAAAGAGGGCAACGATGATGATGATGATGATGATGACCTCTGCTTTGTGTCCAGAAATTTTGTGCCCAGGTTGATGGTTATATGACGCTTTTCCTGTTCAATTAAAAACAAAAATGTTAGAAAGGAGCTATGGTTATGAAAGCATATGTGTCACGGCAAAGTAGGATCAGGCGCTCGTCAATTTTTGGGCATCTGGAGTTATTGGTATCCTCTTAACACTTTGCTATCACAAGGCTCATATAGTAAAAACCCTTGCCATCAAAGGAAAAGGCATTTTGGGGAAAATCCAAAGAAACTGGGTGGTAAACATCGCAGATCGGCGAGATGTGACGGCCAAGTGTTAAAGCTTGTGACCATCTTTTGGTGAAAAAATACACATTTCTGAAGTAAACTTAGAGAGAAAATGGCGGCCAAAGTTTAGTGATTTCCAAAGCTTGGAAACTGAAAATTTACATTTGTTGTGCCTATAATCAATGTTTTTCAGTAAGATACACACAGAAATGCATGTTTTAAATGGACATAAAGGTGTTGAGCCAAAAAACAAAAATTACCCCAAAAAATGGTCAAACTGGAGGGAAAATGTCGATATCTTCGATTTCATTATTTTGACGAGCGCCTGATTTCGCCATGATGCTGCCTCACATTTTATGTTTTTCAATACAAGTCAACTTTAGTTGTGTAGTGTCTGTGGAAACAATAAGCCAAACGCCGCCAAATGAAGTAAGTACATGACACACATGGACATGAGGAAGAATTACGTGGCATTTGCCATGCTATTATTAACCAATGCCATATTGATGATTTGACATTTTGTATTACTTTTCTTCATAATCTTCATATTGCTCAGAAAGGCAGGCTCAGTTTGCTAGTCTATCAATAATGGGTTCAGAAAGATTACAGTTAACTTTAAAAAAATTCAATGTCACTTGTGTAGGAATCTGATGAACTTTATTATAATGATGACTCCGTCTGTTACTGTAACTTGTAACGTGATCTACTGCAAATATTTTATGGCCTGTTCACCAACTATGATTATGCATGCAGTAAGTTGAAATGAGCTATGTGTGGCATGTGACTGGGATCTCTTCTTACTACTACTGACTGTCTCATGGGAAAAATGATATATATACAAGCTTGTACATGATAATATTTTCATGGGAGCCTGCTTGTCTTTTTTTCCCTGACTTGTTGCCTTGTTGCACTAACTTCATTGACCTGTATTTTTTTATCCCATTACGTGTTGGAAAAAACTTCATTGACCTGTATTTTTTTTATCCCATTACGTGTTTGAAAAAACTTCATTGACCTGTATTTTTTTATCCCATTACGTGTTGGAAAAAACTTCATTGACCTGTATTTTTTTATCCCATTACGTGTTGGAAAAAACTTCATTGACCTGTATTTTTTTATCCCATTACGTGTTGGAAAAAACTTCATTGACCTGTATTTTTTTTTATCCCATTACGTGTTTGAAAAGTTTTAAATACAAAGTGAAATAAAACCTGACTTTTTTGCAGCTTTCATTTCTCTACGTCTTATTTCATTTATCATATATATATATATATTATATATGCATTGCGCCAATATAATGTTGGTTGCAGACAGTGAATTTGTCATTTACAAATATAGATTTTCAATTGATACTCATTTCGTTATCTCGTCAAGGTAAATCTCATATAGAGCTACCTTCAAGAATTTTTCCCACTTGCAATCAATGAGTATTCTTGAGTTCTCCCACGTTGTCCCCTCAACAAACAAGGAAAAAAGAAAAACCATCTCTACATTTTTGTCTGAAGTAATTCTGTGGTAAAATGCAGGAGAAAGGTCTTCGTTTGTCTATCGATATTATGGCTAAAGCAGCATGCATGACACAGTTTTGCCATGGTGGTAAAAAATAATGAAAAAAAAGATAGCCCAAGCACTTGTTCCAGGCCTCTGGATCTTGACTTTTTTGATGTGCTCCAAAAGAGAAACATACCAGACAGTATGTAAGAAAAAGACGTGGGTGTACTGTAAATGTAAGGGTGGATCTTAGTCGAAAGAAATATTTTTTTAGTAAGTGTTTTATGGCACTTGCAACACAATAAGGTCACACAAGTGCCGAAGATTAGAGGTGTTACAAGAGAGTAACAAACACAAAAATGAAGGAAAGGAGATAATGACGATAGACGTCTGATACGAAAGAAGAAGCAAACCACACCAGAGCACCCGCCAAAAACCCATCATTTTTTTTTTTTATGGTAGTGGTAGGGTCTGGAAGTTAACGTTAGCTTGATACCTGAGGTCCTGTCCACCAGTGAGAGACTGTGGTGCACAGCCTGGACAATAGCCCGTACTGGGAAGTCTTGGGTCTCCTGCTCTCCCTTCCCAGCACCGCTGACGGCTGTAATGGAAACAATACAAGCGTGTTGCCGGGAGAGGGGGAAAAAGGGGGGACAGACAAACACATGCTTGCGTTCGCATGAAAGTAAAAGAACACTAAAACACGAAAGGAATTTAAACTTTCATCATGCTTTATGTCTCCTGAATATTAAGACATAAACGGAATCAAACAGTCAACTAGGGGAGCTACTGTGAAACAGAGTGAATTTTCTTTGGAAAGTTACATTTGAAGATAATAATAATAATCATTGTCATCTTGACCAAAATAATAACACTAATAACACGACATTTGATATAGTTCTTCCCTTCAAAACTAACCAAAAGGTGATCTACAATAAAATGTTTTTTTAAAATCACGAAAAGACTTTAATTCAATAGACGGGACAAAATTAGGACAAGGAATGTCTTGGGACATCACTTTCAATGGTTGACTCAATTCCTATGTCTAAATCAATGGTTTGTATTACAGCAGAGTCCACTTAACACTTTGCAGTCACACAGCCAGCAGTACAAAATACCCCACCAGGTCACCCAGCCAGAAGAGTGACTGCAACAGTCTTCTCAGTCTCAGGCTCCGCCGGGTGACCGGAACGGATAATTTTCATCGTCGCAATTATTAATGATTATTGCGCCAAGTTTTTGTCCTTTTTAGGTTAAGTACCCTACCACAATATGCCGAAGGCCTAGGAAGTTGTCTAACTAACAAGGCAATCCCCAATGTCCGGATCGGATGCGGGAACAACTTCACTTTTAACCAAAAAAGGACCCTGGTGTAGTGTGTTTACCCCCCTTGGAGAGATAATGAGTTAATGAAAATGAAGAAACAAGCTAACCTCATCACTGTCAATGGCCAGTAGCTGGGAAGACGACAGACACTTAAGCTTCCTAGACAAGAGGCTGGATGCAGTCAGGGCAAGGTCACCAACTATCAGCACCTGAACCATGAAAAATAACATATTATTATTATAAATATAAGTGACATTGTGGTGAAATTACGTGCTCCGCAAAATAATAAAATCAAAGAAACAGACATTTTCCACCAGTTTGGAAATTTTTATTGATTTTTTTTTTGTGTTGGTCTCAACACTTTAGAAGTTCATTTGAAAACACATGGTGTGAGCCCTAGCAAAACAAGCTAATCAAGAGTTTTTAATGAAATTATTGAAAATGCTTAGCATGTCCCTTTAGATGCATATAATAAATTAATGAAATGATGAGTTATAAAAAATTAGACCGATTATGTTACACACAAAGTGGCGAACCCTGCCAAGGAAAATTATTTTGTTTCAATGTCTTTTCATAAACCATCATAAAGCTACATATTCTTTCCTCCCCCCGCTCTCTCACAATTCTCACAGTGCATAATACGTGCTCTCACAGCCACATCTCCAAGACATCTCACTTCCCACTTCCACCTTTAGTACTTTAGTTTTTCTCATAATGACATTGTCCAAGATGTACATCTGTTAAAGGCAATCTATTTAAATTTTCTACTCAACAATGGGTGGCCATTTTGGACAATTTTGACAGTATTTCAACTTTCCCCTAGAAAAAAAAGATAAATGTGCTAAAATTAAAATGCCTCTTTAATTAACACAAGTAAATAACTGAAGAAATGACAAAAACCAACCTATCAGTTTTTTAAAAGTTATGTTTTCTGCAAAACGAGCTTGACTACACTAGGCCTGTCTCAAATTTTTGACAGCATTGACAATGTATCATTTACTTTTTGGTCACAAAGGGCAGGACTGGAGGAGAGAATGTCGCTAATATCTGTGATGAAATCAATCAACCGTGGCAATTGTCCAAACTGCACGACATGGGAATGGTCGCGTGCTTCTCTTTGAGAGAGGAAGACCATCACAACATGCGGCGTGACTGACGCACCAGACAAACTGTTGACCACAGACGTACCTGGGAAATATTTTGCAAGACACCAATGGGAGGCAAAGGTAGAAACTATTAGTTGTAATCCATTCAAACAACCAATCAATATTTAAAGACATTCAAGGAAACATTTTAAATAATGAAAGAGATCGAAATCTAAATTCAAATACAAAGTCACTCCAACTATAAAAATGTAACAGAAAATTACACAATATTTTCATCAGCAGAAAATTTCTTTTAAGACATTCTTTTCCTTGTAAAAAGAGTCAAAAATTGCCATTGAAACAGAAAGCAAAATCCAAAAAAAAAGCACCCAAGAACTTCAAACTGTTTGTCTGTTTGAAAGTTAGATACTCAAATTTATGATAAATTATTATTTATGAGAGCAAATTTTTTTCAGAAACCAAGAGAGGTGGTTGCAAACAACAGATTGACAGAAAGAAGTAGGATCTACCACCAGAGGCAAGCTCCAACCATCCTCAACGTCAGACAAAACTTTCAAAATGGATTCATCTTTTTTCCTTATACTGTATAGGTGTGTTTTACACCTCCATTGATATGATTTAGATAACCTCTTGAAGAAGAGCTGCTTTTACCTAGTTATGTGTGACAGATAGCAAAGGAAAGATGGATAGGGACCTACATTTGGTAAATATATCTTCCCCTGGCCAGACTTGAACACACCTACTGTGTGCAGCCTGTTCTCAACATACTTCAGACACAAATAAAATCCTTTCAAAATGTTAATAAAGCATGCAATGGCACAAAGAACTTGACAACTCAAACACAGCTTGACGCAGTTGTTGTTGTTTGAAATGGTCATAGTTTTTCCATCTGTAGTTGCAATCTTGTGGCTTATAGTATTAGTATTGCTGCAGGAGGTGGGATTGTTATATATGCTTTAAATTTTATATTCCTTGATGTGTTGAAAGGTGTATAAAACTAAAACTCAAAACAAGTTCAAACACTTTAAAAAATCCAATTGTACAAATGAGACAAATTATTCTCCGCAAAAACTTCAATTAATATGTGTCACGACGCAGTGGAATCAGGCGCTCGTCACTTTTTGGGCATGTAGAGTTATTGATATCACCTTAAAGGTTGTTCATTTGCCTTGCTTTCAATGAAAAAATATCCGTTTATCATAAATAGAAGTCGAGATATATGCGATTGAAGGAGGTGGAGTCGCATGGTTTCAGAGGTAAAATTAGAGAGAAAATGGCTGCCAAAGTTTGGTGACTTCCATAGCTGCTCTTAAGAGTCCTTGGAAATTGCAAATTTAAATTTGTTGTGCTTTCAATCAACATTTTTATATAAAATCCACACTTAGAAGTGTTTTTGAATTGACATAGATCTATATAGTGTTGAGCCAAAAAACACAAATTCGAAAAAAAATGCTGATTTCTTGGATTTCATTATTCTGACAAGCCCTTAATTTCACCATGATTCCTCCCGTATTATGAAAGAATAAGATTCAATTGGCATGTTAGCAAAAACAGATGTAAAGTTCTTAACCCTATCCGTACGCCCTGGGATCATTTTGCCCCTCTGTGGTTGTGTTCTTCACATTTTAGAATACTTCTAGTGCGAAGATCTCTTTGACACTTTCAGTATTTCTCAAAAAATCATTTTGACAGACTGTTATGCAAAGCATACGGATTGGATTAACGAGTAAATTTTCTCTTTGGAAAGTGGTGGCACAGAGTTCCCCACGTCGCATGGATACGATAGTAAAACATGACGTACGGATAGGGTTAAAACAATCCTTCCTTACCTTTGACTAAAGGAAAAGTACAGTCCTCAATGTCCATGCGTAGACCCTCCAGGTCGGAGGTATTTGAGCCACACAGCATCAGGTGGAGAGGCTGTATTGAAAGGGAAGCAAAGTTGATATTTTACCTCAGCAGCATCTCAGTATTACTCTATTGGTTTCTTTTTCTTTCAGTCTTTAATGTTTCCACAAAAGGGTGCATATATACAGAAGATAAGTGTGTGCATATATTTACACAAGTGCATGCGAACAACTGGACATGTAGCTGAGAAAAAAACAACAACAGAAAACCCCCAAAAGAAACTATGATCATTTTTTCTTCCTACTTTTCACATCATATATAATTTATAAAGCACAGCAACTTAGTACAAAAGTAAAACGTATGTATAATGATATGATACAGATTGAGAATAGTGTGAGATGATTCAGGTACGTAGAGCGGGTTGCCTAGTTTAATCAGGCAGTGAAAGTAGGGCGATACAAGATAAGCGCATGCGTAGTATGAGAGCCATTAGTTACTCTTAGTTTAGTTTTGTATAGTAGGCAATCATATCACAAAATGGATAGGTCGAACTCAAAAGACTTGAAATCCCGTATCTGTCGAAGTGTGCCAACAGTCCCTTTTTCTTACTTTTCTATCTTTGTAAGATAAAAGATATCCCTCAAACTATGATTCCCTCAAACTATGATTCCCTCAAACTACGAAGGCCTGCCCAACTAATTCGAGAATTCGTGTTATACTGTAGTTTCATATTTGCTACCAAGTCATTATAGTGACAATGTCTCATTGTAAGAGTTCACCATGAAATCTCAGGTTCTGCCCTTGCCTTCAAAACACCGCATAGGCCTACACCACTTGTCCAAGACAATCATCTGGGCAAACAACTACTTCCCACCGATGCATTTTTTCCTTTATTATAATGAAACTGTCTCGAACATCCACTTGTCTTCTAAGATAACCACCTTGACAATAGGCCGCTGTCTTGGAATCTTTTTTTTTTTACCATCATGTTTAAATAGCCTAGATCTAGTTGACTCCACTTAAGTTGAACTCATTTGAGTTGATTTTCAGTTAAGTTTATCTTTTTCTTGGGTCCCAGCACCAGTTCTTCTTTAGGCCTACAGGTCCCTACAGCTTTAAGTTGAACTTCGGATGAGTCGATCTTTCCTCACTCCCCCAACAACATCAACTCATCCGTCGTCGACTGTATAGATAGAAAAGTAAAAGCTCACCTGTGAGGGGCCGAAGACGTGTCCACTGGAGATTCCTTGGATGACGACATCGCACTGTGCGGAGTCCTCCAGACACAGACACAATACAAGCTCGTCAGGATGCCTTGCACTCATTTTCAGCAGCACACAAAACCTTTACGGACTTGTAGATGTAGACTAGAAGAGCTGCTGCGGCTTCAATTTCACTCAAGTGAACTGCTCTTTAATACTTTCTTCACCTGAGGATGAGAATCAGCTTCGCCTTCTGAATTCTAAAATGTAAAAAAGCTTCAATCGATTAATTCAACCATCAATCTGGATTCTATTCATTGTCAACATTTCATTGTATATGTTACTTCATTTCATAGCCTATTTTAGGAGACAATGAAAATAGAATCTAGATCTAGATCTAGAATCTATACCTAAAGGCCCAATCTTCACATTCACAATTTTAGTATGTCGGTGAATAAAAGATCTAATCTAGATCTAGATCTAGATCTAGATCTAGATTAATTATTGGTACCAGGTATAATAAAAAAGGAAAAGCAACAAGAATTCACCACTTATAATTATAGTAAGGCCATCATTTTGGTTGGTGTTTAGGCCTAGAGATTCTAGATGTAGGCTACAGAGGTGGTCCTATCCACTAGGCCTAAACACCAACCAAAATGGTTTCTAGATCTATGATAGACTGAAGCAACTGAAATGTTCAAATTTAACTCACAAAAGCAACGTCTTGTTCTCTTCGTAGAAGTCGGTTGTGTGTACACAACTCGAAATGTAACACTAGCAGTCAGCGGGGCAAGGGTCAATGTAAAGAATTATCTGGGTGATGTCCCTTTGACCAGTTCTAGGAGCGCACTCACATCTATTCGCGCAAAAGGAGAGAGAGAGAGAGAAAGAGAGAGAGAGAGAGAGAGAAAGAGAGAGAGAGAGAGAGAGAGAGAGAGAGAGAGAGAGAGAGAGAGAGACAGACAGAGAGAGAGAGACAGAGACAGAGACAGAGACAGAGAGAGAGAGACAGAGAGAGAGACAGAGAGAGAGAGACAGACAGAGAGAGAGAGACAGAGAGAGAGAGAGACAGAGACAGACAGACTGACAGAGAAAGGAGGATTCCTTGAGATAGAAAAAGACAGTTTCTGAGACTGAGAGGGTGAAATGTTATTATTATTTATATCACAGACACACAAATAACCGAAAGAAAGGAACTGATTGATAAATCAATACATATAAAGATTTTTTAAAAATATAATTATAAGAAGAAGAAGAAGAAAAAGGAGAAGGAACAGGAACGACAAAAAGATAGCTTGAATGGAATTTAATACATTTTTATTATTTCTTTATTATTATTATTTATTTTTTAAATTTGTTTTTTAATTTTTGGGAGGGGGGAGAGATAAGGCCTTAGTTGTTGTTGTTTTTTTTTAATTTAAAAAAACAAAGGGGAAGAAACTGAATTCTCCAATCGCAAGATGCATAAAATTAAAATGTATTTACTCTCAATTAATTTAATTAAAAGACCATTTTATAATTGTAACCGAATCAACACCCTACCCAACACAACTACATATGGGCGAACACACACGCGTAGGCTACACATTAGGTCTACACACACACACACACACACACACACACACACACACACACACACACACACACACACACACACACACACTCGCACAGAGAGAGAGAGAGAGAGAGAGAGAGAGAGAGAGAGAGAGAGAGAGAGAGAGAGAGAGAGAGAAAGAGAGAGAGACAAGGTCTGGGGCTCTCGTGGCCTTGAGGTTAAGGTATTCGATTTTCATTCAAAGGTCCTGGGTTCGAATCCGGTAGCGACGGAAAAATTTTCTGCTCTAAAATTGTCTCCTTTCACCTCTTTTCCCACTCTCAAGCAATGTTCAGTCGTCTGCTTTTGTCTCTACTTTCTTCCCCCCACCCCCTCACCTCCTTTGCCCCTTCCTCTGGGACTCTATCTGCAGCCTTTCTGCTGCTTCTCCTTGGCTCCTTCTTACTGCTGTCTTTCAGCACCATCGCTGATCTTGTGGTGGGAAAGATCTGCACTTAGCCTTCTCGGACAAGGGCGAAAAATCTCGGAGGTCCCGTGGGCAAGTTGCGCACGTTAAAGATCCCTCGGTGGTCTAAAATAGATAAAAGTAGGCTTCGGCCGCCCGGCAAAATTCAAAATTTTCTACCAATTGAAAATGTTTTAAGTGTCCCGCGCGCTCATATTTATGACCTTGTGCAGTTGCGAGCGCCGTTACACACTTACCAAAACTAAAACAAAAAACTCAAGGTCTCTGTAGCTGTTTGTTTAAGGTTTATTTTTATTCTCATCATTAGTATTCGATTATTTAGAAGTGCACAAAGAGTCGTGTATCAATCTTCGACTGTGAAGTTGGATTTGGAGCAAAGATCGTTATAGACCTACTGTACACTATCTTGGGTTGTGGCCAAGGACCTTACAACAACTGTATATAACTTCCTTGGTTGGGGCTACGTATTCAGGCAACTACTGTGGTCATTGTTGCACTGTGAGGGTCCGGTCTGGTTGTACCAGTGGAAGAGCCGGACGCTGAACTCCAGCTGCCTCTCTGGGGATGTGTCCAGCGTGCGTCTGTAGCTGCCCAGAACGGCGGGAATCTCGCCATTCCCGTCTGGAAAGTCCTCAGGGGTCAGGTCCGGGCAGGGAGGCTCCAGGCTCAGCTGAAACGCTTCTCCTGGTATAAAGTATAGAGGGAGTGAAAACAATATCTGGTCGCTTTTAAGCACAAGGGGGCTATCCCGAAAAATGCTGTTTTGAGAAAATCGAAGGTATATTATTTTTTTGCCCCTTGTTCAGTTTCTTTAAAAGACAAGGAGAGTTTTCGCTAATACCAAACAAATATACACTCCAATGAAACCAAACTTCTCCTATAGGTAGGGCAATGCCCACTTTTGGTGTAGGTC